ATGGGCAGTCTATCTGAAGTGTACCTGGCGTATAAGACGACCCCCCACTTGGAGGCATATTTTTCAGGGCCAAAAAATCGTCTTATACGCCCGCAAATATGGTAACTGTGCTTCTGCATGGAGGGTTCCAGGATGGGGCTCACTGGATCTGTGCATCCTCTGGGAATTTCCATAAAAAGCGTTGGTCCATGGTCTCCCACTTGGTTTTGGAAGCAGAGTCGATGCCAAGTTTTTATCCTGGCTGTCCGTCAGGTTTCCCTGATGTGTGTTGCACTGTGAAAGAGAACTCACTCAACTGGGGCCAGGATGGAAACAATTTCCCTGGAAAATAATGGCTGATAGAATCCACCACCTCTGTCAGTCTCCCGCACCCTACAGGTAGGGACTACAAGCACTTCTGATATAAGTGGCTGCTGCTGACCAGGAAACCAAGATGTGGCAGGACTCTGCTAATGTTCCATGTGCATGTTACCCCATTCTGTCCCTCAGCAACCCCTGAAACTGGCACCCCCGATGCCCATATCTTGAGGTGGGGTAACTGTGGAAATGAAGATAAGAAGTTCATGGGTAAGCAGCAGAGCTGGGACTCAAACCAAAGAGAGCCTGACTGCTCTGACATGTCCTGTCCCCAGCCTGAAGAACGTCCTGTCAAGTAACCCTCTCACCAAACCCACAGGTGTAGCCATGTTCCTGCCCTCCAGTAAGAGAGAAGAAGATGCAAGAACCACTGGGCCCCACCTCAGGGCCCACCATGGGTGCACCGGGCAAGGATCCTGGAGGAGTTTCAGCTAGAGCATCCTTCCGAATTCCCAGGAATTCTGATGGGACTTCTGACAGGGAGGCAGCTAGCCCATTTCCTGTCCAAGGGTCTCTTTTGTGTGTTCCCTTAAGTCTTCAAGAATCTGCCCTGGAGCAGAGGGTCCTCACAGTGTGGTCCCTGAACCCTCAGCATCACTTGGGAACCACCAGTAACTGGCCCCGCCCTAGAGCTGCTGAGCAGACTTGGGGTGGGGGTACATCCAGTAATATCTGGACAGGTCCTCCAGGTGATGCTGGCATGTGCTATGATCTAGAATGCCTCAGAGTACACACAATCCACTTCCTTGTCTCTAACGAGGGGGAGCCCAGTCAACCTGGGCCGTGACCTTGCAGGTTATGTACCCCATGTGCAGTATCGGGCAGCAATGCATGGAGGATACATATCATAACAACATAATAGAATAATGCCATTGCTCAATAAAGCAGCATGACTTTGTGCTGCTTTAGGAAGCACTGGCTGCCTCCATTGTTTAAAGTCCTCCAATGAATAAGGCCCTTTTGGGAAATAAACATACTGACTCTTGAGGATGTTGCACAGCAAAGATGTAAACACATACTCATAACCCAAAAGAATGGAAAGCAGGGTCTCAAAGAGATATTTGCACACCCATGTTCATAGCAACATTATTCACATTAGCCAAGAGGTAGAGAACCCAGTGCCCACGGGCAGATGAATGGACAGACAAAATGTGGTCCATCCATACAACAGTATATTATGATTCAACCTTAAAAAGGAAGGCAATTCTAACACCTGCTACCATGTGGATGAACCTTGAGGACGTTACACTACATAAAATACGCCAGTCACAAAAGGACAGATTGTGATTCCACTTATTTGAGGGCCCTAGAGTAGTCAAATTCATCAACACAGAAAGTAGCATGGTGGTTGCCAGGGGCAGGGGGAGGGGAAATGGGGAGTTCGTGTTTATTGGGTATAAAGTTTCAGTTTTACAAGATGAAAAGAGTTCTAGAGATGGATGGTGATGACACAATAAAGTGAATGTACTTAATGCTGCAGAACTGCACAATTAAAAATGGTTAAAGTGATAGTTATATTATGTACATTTTACCTGATCCAGTGACCCACCCGTAATCTTTCCTTGCCTGATCTTCTGCACCTTATAGCAAATGGAGGTCCCCACCAGTAGGTAGACATCATAAGCTGGGTTCAGAAGGATGTTCTCCAAAATCAGCAGCCTGACCTCTGCAGGGTGGACATTCTAGGCATAAAGAAAAGGGTAAAAAAAGTGAAGTTGGGTCGGGCAATAGAGATGGGGTTGTAGGAAAGAGAAAGGGAATCTTCAGAACTGTTTCATATGTTCACGTGGGGACAGGAAAGTTGGGGTGAAAAAAAAAGGCAACACTTCCAGACCTCCAAAGGCCCAGGGGAACCCTGCGTGTTCAGCTGGCATGCACTCAGTGGTCTCTTTATATATGTTATAGCTCACTTTACAATCATAATAATTAAACAGAAAGAAAAGTAAGGAGCCACAAGAGATATCCTTGGTACTGTGGCCACCAGGATCTCAGCGTCTGTCCCCACAAATGCCCCCAAAGCCATTTGGGAAGCTTCCGGGAAACCTGAAAAGAAAGGGGCATGTGTGCCGATGAGCACTGAGCTCCTGCTTCTCAGCTCCTCCCTGCCCACCGCACATGCCCCACCAAGACCTCCTCATCAGGAAAATTCATGAGGGGCTCTAAAGCGGGAGAAAGGCCACTGGCAGTGTCTCCAGGGCACCCTCGCATTAGCAGGTTGTGTAGGGGCCTGCACCTTCCACTGCCACTGAGCTGCATGGCAACTCTGCAAGTTGGAGAAACTGATGGAAAAGCACATGATTGTTGTCCACAGAAATGCAAACCCATTTTCCCTGGTGGAGGTGCCCCATGGATATTGGCCAGCTCTGCATCTGTTTGGAAATTCTTTAGGCTCACCTCTCCTTTGACACAGCTGTAACATCTTACAGGTTTCCTCACTTAAGAGTACGTGAAAGAGTATCTTTGCCTCATTAAAAAAGAAAAAAGCATACTGAGCCCCTATCTCGAGCCAGGCTCTGTGGCAGGTGCCTTCCAGCATGGCAGGCAGGGAAGCCATTTACCCATGCAGGCAGGACAAGGGGGTCTTTCCAGCTTGGTGGTAGGCCAGCGCACCACACAGGGGCCCAGAATCAGGAGGCAAACTGTCTCCAAATACTAACCGCAGAGTACTGTGGGTCAGCCTGATGACATGTCACCTCCCATGTGTCCCAGACCCTCCAGGACTCCCAAAGTACTGCTAACCCACTAGAGACACTGGATCTGGGGAGGTTTCTCTTGTCTGTCACTTTACAAATCAAAAGGGGGACGAAGGACCACACTTCCTGCCTGTGCTCTGGGAAGTCAGGCAAACAAAAGCAAGAGCTCAGTTTGTGGTTCAAAAGGAGGCGGGGCAGGGCAGACATTTTCCCACAAGAACCCGGAAGGAGCCAGGACCTCAGCTGAACCCACTCCTTTCCTCTGTCCCACCCTTCTCAAAACAGGGTATTGATGGAAAAGCAGGTGCTGGTGAGGCCAGGGCAACGTGGGGGTGGGATGGGGTGGGGAGGACCACTATCCATCCATAAGCAAGAACACCAGTCTCAGGGCTCATGCTTGGCACAGACAGAGATAGCATAGAGGGCACCTGGGAGCCCCTGTGATTTTTCACACAGCCCCAAATGCTTGGCTGTGTCCCTACCCTGGGTTGGGGCAGGGGATACTTGTTGAAAATAAGCTAGTTGGTGAAAATTCCATTGCTCCTGGACCTCCCTCAAAACTGAGAGTGGAGTAAATTCTTTGTGTCTCTGGTGCTCCATGGTGCCCTCTGGTACCCCAACTCCCTCTTGCTGTGTCCCCCCCAAAACCAAACCAAACTAACAAAAATCTGGACTCACACCCTGAAGTTCTCCTTCCGTGAACAGTGAAACCTCCACAGCAGGGAAGCTCAAGTCCACGACTAAATGTGTGCACGGGGGTGAGCGGGACAGCAGCCTGGCTGCACCCCAGGAGCCCAGCATTCCCCGCACCCCGGCCCACCTTGTAGACGACCTCCTGAATGCGTGCCTTGAGCTTGGAGCTCCCAGTCTTCATCCCGGACACCAGGATGGTGTCCCCCTGCTTGGCCACCTTCTCCATCTCTGAGATGTAGGAAGGAGGTATGTACGTAGACTCCAAGAATGGGAGAATTCTGCAAAAACACATGTCGTCAGACCTGATGTGTGGAACCAGAGAACCTAACACATTCATGGTTGCTCAGGAACCCCTGGTAGGAGCCAGATGCTGAAGTAAGTGGTGTTGCTATAGTTGGTGCAGCTTGGAAATGTGTCCCTGTGACTTCCTACACCAGAACTGCCAACATCCCCATGACACACACAGTCTCTGCCCCTGGCCCAGGACTTTGCTGCATGGAGACTGGCAATCTGTGTCTCATCAAAATCCACACGTGACTGTGGTAAAAACTGAAATCAGAGGACTACCCAGTTAGGAGAAATGCTTCACTCGCCTGGATGTGCAGAGGAGGCCCATGGAAACTAAGACGCAGACCCAGGACCACAGACCCAGCTGGGGCAGTGTCAGCAATGCCCACCAGGCTCCCAGGGCCACGGGCCAAGTTCTGCCTGACCCTGGATTAGCTCTTTCTTCTAGGGACTGGGTCTCAGTGGCTCCCGTCAAGCGCCAGGACGAGGGGATCACATCAGGTCTCATCCTCCCTGGAGTTAGGCTGTGGGGAGAAGCCCTAGGGGTGAGGGGGGTAGAAGTCGGGATGCCGGAAACCCTCCCTAGAATGTGGGCTGGTAAGCACAGCGGCTCAGGGAACCGTTTCGATACAGTGTCTCACTTGTAGCCTGTGATTTACAAATGAGCCTAGCCTTCCGCCTGAAAAAGAGCCATCCGTTGGACACTCACTTTCCCCAAGGTCTGCTGGGTGCTGTACTCACCGTGATTTATTAATATTTCCTCGTCCCATCTCACTAGGTGTCATATGCTGAGTTTAAAGAAAATCCAGGGCATTGACTCCAATACGCCTTAGCACCTGGGATTTTGGCTAACATGTAGCTCAGGATGGACTGACTGGAAGTTCAGGGGCCTGTTATGGCAGGAAACAGGCCTGCAGGCACAGAAAAGGGCAGGGAGCCAGCATCCCTGAGTATCTAGTGTGAGCGAGGACCAGGAGGAGTTCTGAGCAGTCGATTTGCTGACCCACGTGGCCACCCTCCGATCGGGCACAACAATGATCTCCATGTGACAGAGAGGACACTGATGCTCGGATGGGTTACACTCCTTAACTAAGGCCACAGGCAGGAAGTGATATTGGCCAGGACTAGAATCCAGGTCTCTTGGACTGTCAGGCCCATGTTCCTGGCTTTCTGAGACACCACTAATTCCAGACCTTATCCAGGAAACAGGCCGACGGTCCCAGACCCCAGAAGAGCCTTGACCTAGGAGGGTGCCACAGCATGCAGGGCCAGGTGTGAGGGTGTCTGGCACAGGTATGGCTGTGAGCCAAGCCGGATGTTTCCTAGAGCCCTGAGCTAGACTGAAAGGTGTCAGTAAACACCAGACTCTTAACTCCCTACAAAATGCTTACTGATTGCAAGGGGGTAAGAAAACTACTTCACAATGGGGCCCCTGGCAGACACCCTACCCAAGTGGTGACAGTGAGCACCATCAGTGATGGAACAACAGAATCGTGGTCAGGTACAGTTAGGTAATACAGAATCCCCTCTCTGTGACATTCCTGCCAAAGACACAAAGCTCTGAGATAATCAGGAGGGAACACCAGATGAGCCCAAAACGAGAGACCTTCTACCTAAGAACTAGATTGCAGTCTTCACATGTGTCTAGGTCCCAAAAGTCAGACCATGATACTGTCCCAGGCTGATGGAGACCAAGGAACGGGATGGTATGTAGGGGCGCTGGGCTGGGTTTTTGCCACAAAAGATATAATTGGGGTAATTGGCAAAGCTTGAATGAGGCCTTGGATGCATCAGTGTTAATTTCCAAACTTTGATGACTATGCTGTGAAGATGCAGGAAAATGCTGTTAGTAGTGGTAAATGCACATTAACATAACCAGGGATGATGGGGCAACAGGTTGGCAACATGCTCTCAAATAGTTTAGGGAAATCACTTTTTGTAGTACACTTGGAACTTTCTGTGGGCTGAATGAAATGGCTGCGAAATTCTTTAAAAATTAAGTTCTCCTCTCCCAAAAGGGACTATACTCTTTAAAACATCATTTGCTAATGCATGAGGCAATGCAGTGTAATAGGGGATGGAGCCCAGACGTGGGTCTGCGCCAACACTGGCCAACAGAGCTCTGGCAGTGACGGACAGGCCCTAACCCGCTCTGTCCAACGCTGGTGACCACGACGTGCACTGCAAACAAACTATGCGAATGCAGCTAGTGTGTCCCAGGAACAGAGCTCCTTATCCTACCCAATTTAAATGTAAATCTAGGAAGGGGTAGTGGCCATCATATTGAATAGTGAAGACTTATACAGGTCTGAGTTCAAATTCTAGCTCTGCCACTTACACCCTGAGAAAAGTAACTCAAAACTCAGTTTCTGCCTGAAAAATGGAGAAAATGTGGCACGTAAGCCTGCATGGCTTTCGGGAGGAGTGGCTCAGCCAAGATAGGGAAGGAGGCTGTCTGCACCCCCAGTGCTAGGGAACGCAGCCTCTCGCATCTGCAAGGCACTGTTACTGCTGGAACATCTCTGAGCCAAAACCTGCCTCCCCTTCATCTGACCCCCAATGGGAGGGTTGCCCTCTGGGGCCACACAGAACCATCCCCCTGCACTCCATTATGTGGGACAAGTTTTTTCTTCTGCAGCTGGACATGCCAGCCCCCTCACAACATCCCACAGGACACCCTGGTGGGCTGCAGAAACAGTAAGGTTCTCGTACAACCACGGGGGCCCAAGCACTTCCCTAATCGGTCAAGGGCAACGTCAGCCAGCACACGAATCACCCGGGACTCCTTGCTGACGGTGATGAAAGCCCCTAGCCCACTCAGAGCCAAGTGACACCCCCTTCCTGCTCCCCTTCTGGGTCAAAGCGCCTCTCACCGCAGTGCATTGTGAGAGTCTGAGAACCGGCTGGCCTCCGTGTCCTTCACAATCGTCCAGTCAAAGACGAGCCCAGCCAGGGTGCTGAACGTGTTCCCTATAAGAGGAAATGGGGAAAGGGAGGGAAGAAATGCATCAGAGTTAACTCCTGAGACCAAGGGAAGGGAGACCCACTCAGTACCACTCACTGCAGAACAGGTGTCATGCTTCCAGCTCCAGAAGGACACACAGGCTTGAAGGATCAGGGTCACTGACTGTGAGGGGCTGAGCCATGGTGTGCAGCCAGGCCTGTTTCAAGTGAGCACTGCACCCCTGCCCTTGTTCACAACAGGCTCAGTAGTGTATGACACCATCCCCAGTGTCTGTAAGCACCCCTACGGCTCAGTGTGTGTGTGACACCATCACCCAACATCTGTAAGCACTCCTACAACTCAGTGTGTGTGTGACACCATCACCCAGAGTCTATAAGCACTCCTACAGCTCAGTGTATGTGTGGCACCATCACCCAACATCTGTAAGCACTCCTACAGTTCAGTGTGTGTGTGTGATACCATCCCCCCAGCATCTAGAAGCACTCCTATATAGCTCAGTGTAGTGTGCAACAACATCACCCCAGCGTCTAGAAGCACTTCTACAGTTTAGGCTCCAGCTCCCAAGACCTGATTCATTCATTCCTCCTACCACCTTCCTATGCAGGGAAATACACTGCAGATAAGGGGACAGAATCTCCAACCGTCAGGTTTCACATGACCATTGTTGGCCCTTCACCTTCACACAGAGACTCCTAGGGGCCCAGGGTAGAGGGGATGGAAAGGCTCACACAGCTGGTCTTGGCTCCACAGTCATTATGACTTGTGTCTATTCATCTTTTGACAGGATATCAGAACAAGCAGAGCCCAACAGGGAGTGGGCAATGATTCTTGGAGGAACAGGACTCAGAGTGGGTCTTAAACACTAGGTAAGGCAGTCTTAGTGTAAATCCAATGCCTGGTTCCACAAGGACGCCCTGGAACAGGGTGGGAGATGAAAACTGGGGGCTCAAAGCCTCATGTGCCAGGGGCTCTGAGTTTCTTGGTTTGCTATGTACCCAAAGTTGCTTTTACATTTTTGAATAAGTATTCATCCTTTCAAATTGAGAAATGCCATACATAAACCCAATGTCCAAGTTCTCCTGAAAAGTCTGACAATTCAGCCTCCTGGGTCCTATTCTCTTTGGCGACCAGCAGCTGGCTCTATCTCCCTAGGAGGGGCACGGTCTCAGGTGTGCCATGTTCCCCCCACACGCTTTCATCCCATACCCACTCCACCTCCATCACCTATTGGGTCATTGGGAAAGTCATAATGCATTTTTGCATTGAAAAACATAGAAAAACATGTCATGACTTTCCCGACAGCCCAATATATTCCCTGCCTGGCCAGCTCCCAAAAAAGAGCACCTGGAACCTAGAAAAACTCCTACAGTACACAGGGCAAGGTGTTTCAAGTGAGGTGGGCCTGGGATCCTATACCCCCCACAACTCCTGTGAGATCTCAGAGGTCAAATTAAGCAGAGATTAGCAAAAGCTCCAGACACTTGTCATTGTCACCACTTTTCAGGGCATCTATTATGAAGGGAGGCCATTCCTTACAGTTCCCTAGATGTCTTTCCATCGACTTGGGCATCTGATCAGAGTAAGGGAAGGGAAACCCAGGTACAATGGACACAGCTTGGAGAGCTGTTTTCTCAGAATCCCAAGGAAGACCTAGCATACCCAGCTGCCATGAGAACTCACCCAGTTCCCTCCTTGGTAGTCAAATGAAAACACATAGGATACAAAAGGGAACAGGGCAGGGTGGGAACAGAGGGAGGCAGCTGAAGGGACCCTGTAGCCTCCTCCCCACAAAACTGAGCCGGCAAGCACCACCCTACCCTACCCCCACCCTCAGCAGGCAGGTGGGCCACACTCTCAGAGCCCGTGCACGGCACTCCCACTGCACGCAGCATGCTTAGCAGTCTGAGTGCTGTCATTCATCAGGGATTCAGGAAGACACGGACTCTCCCCTTACCTCTGTATCTTCAGTGGTGCCTCGGTAGGGCCTGACACATAGTAGGTGCTCAGTAAATGATTTTGAGCAAACAAAAGGTCTGTGATTTCTTAAACCTCAAATCTTTTTGACAAAAGTAACCTATATTCCAAACATCTGGGTATTAGGTAAGAAGACAGATAGTAAAACTCACACCAGTAAAGCATGTTGGCTGCAAGGGTCCACCCCAAGCACACCACTCCCTGCTGCAGGGCCTGCATCTTTCCTGCATACCCTCGTGACGACCAGCTTACCATCTCCAAGTACAGCCCATTATCGACTCTGACCGTGACAACCTACTTCCACCCACTAAGCCAAAATGGGATACACAAAGCAAAGCCAGCCCAAATCCCACCTTCTGGTGGCAGTCCCAACAAGGCTGACTGCAAACTGCTCAGTTAGGTTAAGAATGGATTTTCCCTATTATCACAGTAGACTGTGAAAGTATGGCCAGAAATGCAATACAAAAACTCTCTTAAAGCATGTCCATTCAAACATCACAGATATACTGAATACCTACCCAGGTTATCTCCAAGCACCACATTTCTCTTCTGTGGCATGGGAATAAAAATACCAATGCACAGAGTTTTTGGGAAGATCAAATGGAGAAAGCACCCCAGCGGGGTGACTAGGCCGTACTGGCCAACCCCAGGTAGCAACTATTGTTCACACAGCCTTCTGAGGTTAGGAGACTGAGGCTAGGAGAGGCCTGCTGGGGTATCTTAACATGGAAAATGGCAACAGGAAATCCTGTCTTCATACAGTTCAGTGGCTACACATGGAGCTGTTTTCCAGCATCTTTGCTGCCCCCACCTCAGTCTCTCCTGCATGTCCACCATGCTCAAATGCGAAAGAATAAATGAGTGGAAGATCTGGTCAAGATGGCAGAGTAAGTAAATGCTGTGCTTACCTCCTCTCACAACTACATCAAAATTACAACTAAACTACAGAACCACCATCATTGAGAATCACCTGAAGTCAAGCTGAACCAAAGCCCTCAAACTAAGGACATACAGAAAAAGCTACCTCAAGACTAGTAGGAAGGGCAGAGATGGCGAATGGGCTGGTCCCATACCCGCATGTGACCATTAAATATCGGGAGAGATATCTCGGTGGCAGAGTTCCCCTCCAGAGGAGCGAGGGGTCCCAAGCTCACACCAGGCTCCCCAGCCCAGGGTCTCAGTGTCACGGAGATAAGTCCCCACAACTTCTGGTTGTAAAATCAGTGAAGGTTGTGGCTGAGAAGAAGGCACTGCAGTCTCAGGAACTCCTCTTAAAGGGCCCACACAGGGACTTACTTGCTGATGGACTTACTTGCTCTGAACTCAAGCACTGGGGTAGCGGCTCAAAAGGTGCCAGGGACACATGGAGAGGAACTGAACTGTCTGGCTTCAGAGCGAAGGCTGAAGGGACAGCTTTCGCCTAGACAGAAGTTCTGGTACAAGCCATTGTTTCTTTGTTGAGCCCTTCCCCCACCCAGCTTGCAGACGCAGGCAGCCACCATAAAGAGTCTCTATCAGCCTGGCTGACACTGATCATTCTCCCCGCCCTGCTGATTCCCTAAGACCCCATCCCATCCAAATTTGGGCCCACCCGAGCCACTTCTAGTGGCTTTTCCATATAAAGGCTTGTCTTGGCTCGTGCTGTGCATGGTCCTAAAATTTCTCAAAGGTTCTCAAAACCCAAATAAGCAGCATCTGTCTTCAGCATGTCCTGTACCTCTGGATGAGCAGCCCTAACTGGCACTAGCAACAGCTGGCCTCAGTTCACAGCTTGGCCTCTCAAAACATCTCCAACCACAGTGTGGGTGGCAGCCATTTGTGGAATTCTCTGTGGCTCATGCCAGGTGGCCGCAGGCAGGGCACAGGCTGCAGCTGAAACTGGCCTGCAGTGGGTTCACTCCCAGGATGCCCCAGGGCTGATATAGCCAGTAGACAGTTTCAGACCCAGCCAGAATATCACCCAACCGCCTCTGAGGATGACACACCCAAAAGGCACCAGAACCCTGCTAAAATGAATCCTGCTCTATAGGCTCAACCCCTGCACAACAGCTCCTCCACTGTAGTCACAGCCAGTCCTCACAACCAATCACCATGAGGGTCAATCCCTCCCACTGATGTGCAAACAGCAACCAAGGCTCAACTACAACAGAAGGGCACATACAACTCACACAAGTGATACATCTGGAGTGCGCAGCTCAGGTGACCAGGGAGACCATGCCACTGAGCCCCACAGCACACCTACTACATAAGGGCACTCTACTAAGATCAGGAGGTATAACAACTAATATATAGAAACAAATATTACCTAATATATAGAAACAAATCTAGTGAGGCAGCCACAATGGGAAGAAAAAGAAACATGTCCCAAATGAAAAAGAACAGAGTTCCAGAAAAAGAACAAAATGCAGACAAGCAATCTATAAGACACTGAGTTCTAAACACTGGTTATAAGTATTCTCAATGATCTCAGGGAGAACTTCAACAAAGAGATAGGAAACATACAAATAGACAGAAAATATAAAAAATAATCAGTCAGAAATAAAGAACACAATAACTGAAATGAAGAACATGTCAGAAAAATCAACAGATTAGATGAAGCAGAGGCTCGAATCAACAATTTAGAAGATAAGGTAGCTAAAAATACTCAATCAGAACAGCAAAAAGAAAAAAGAATTTTTAATAATTAGAATAGTTTAAGGGACCTCTGGGACAATATCCAGTGTACCAACATTCACATCATAGGAGTACCAGGAGAGAAGAGAGACCAAAAAATTGAAAACTTATTAGAAGAAATAATGACAGAATAAAGAATAAAGAAAACTTCCCTAACCTGGCAAAGGAAATAAATATACAAACCCAGGAGTGCAGAAAGTCCCACGCAATATGAACTCAAACAGGCCCACACCAAGATGCAGCATAATTTAAATGCCAAAAGTTAAAGACAAAGAAAGAATCTTAAAAGCCTCAAGAGAAAAGCACTTAGTTACCTAAAAGGGAGCTCCTATAAGATGCCAGCTGATTTCTCAACAGA